GGGTTTGGGGGAGAGGGGAGGGGGTATGGGCAAAGGCGCTCATGGCAGGAATTTAGTCAGTAAAAGAAGAAGAAGAAGAAGAAGAAGAAGAAGAAGAAGAAGAGGAAAGAGAGAGAGAGAGAGAGAGAGAGAGAGAGAGAGAGAGAGAGAGAGAGAGAGAGAGAGAGAGAGAGAGAGAGGAACTAAGCATCGTATTTTAGAAAGAGGAAGACAGAGAACCCGAGCCAAGATTTGGCCCAGCGATTCGACCGGCGATGAACGGAAGAACGAGGAGCGAACCCCGTCCTGTGTTTCCCTCCCTGGCCGGGATCCTCGCCCCCGGACCCCTCCTGACTGCCGTATTTCCCTGCCTTTGGACCCCCTGCCAATCACCGTGTAAACCCAGCCAGGGATTTCGCCCCTAGTCCCTCCCCCCCTCGCAGTCACCGCGTTTCCTACCCGACTGCGCCATCCATTACAGTATGCCGTACATAGAAAGATGCAAATTGGGCTTGCCTTATAGTGAAGCGAAAGGTGGCTAGAAAAGTGACGAACCTCTGTAGCTGGAACACAGTTATTGCACTTCACTGAATGTAGTGTTGCGCCTGTGATTATAGCAGTTTCACGAAGCGATTATTTCACTGGAATATTGTGAAAGAATTCGGAAACGCAAGTAGCACTGTCAGCCAAATAGACTTCGGAAACGGGCGGCGAGTACCGTGCCAAGAGTCAAATTTGCCGGTAGATAGCTGCGAATGCGCCCAAAACACTGTTTGAACGTAATACACAAACACATGACACATTTAAGGGATGTATGGTCTTGAACACTTGAAAAATACGAATTTTGGCACGTTGAAATGAAAACTGAAATAGCGAAATATATCAATGAGCAGCAAATTTCTAAGAGTGACACTGCTTATTCGTCACGACCTCCGTGCGCCGAGACAGCAGGGCCAAGGTCTCTATGAGCAGGGCGACCTCGTAGCAGGAAGGCTGGACCCATAAACAAGCGCAAACTGACTGAGGCTCAAACTAAATTGAGAGAAAGAAAGCAAATTGGGTAAAAGGCCGCACAATACTCTGGGAAGTAATTTACATATACAAGACATAATTATGGTTTCCCAAAATAAGCAACAGCGATAATTTCAACAACCCCTGAGACACACAGAACAAAGCTCTCCAGCTCAATAATTGGTTTCGTTCTAACCGCCCGATGACCATTGTCTCGAGGGACAAAAAATCTGCATGCCTCTCACCGTATAAACAAGCTAAGTACCTGCTTTCCTGCGAAAAAAATGTCTACCTTGTTCGCCCTTTTAGCAATATTAGGGAAAGAAAAACAACGATCTCTCATGGAAATAATCCTTGTGTCTTAACAGGGAAATGTTAAAAGATATGAATAGGAACGAGTACGTGTTTAAGACCTGTTTGTTTTTATCTTTTTTTTCCAGTTACTCTTTTTTTTTTCTTTTTTCATTTATCCTTGTTAAAAAAAAAAAAAAATCTTCATCCCCATGTCACTGAGAATACGTTTTTTTTTTTTTTTCACGGCGAAGGTTTACTATTCCTGCGAGTTTGTTTGGCGTTTGACGTTTCTTATTCCATACAGTGAACTCTGAACAGACACTGCCAAGGCCATCAATTATCTCTCTTTTTGTTTCTATATCTCTTTCTCTCTTTTTCTCTCTCTTCTGCTCTCTCTCTCTCTCTTTCCCTCCCTCTCCCTCTCCCTCTTCCCCCCTCTCTCTCTTTAATGAAATGTGGATATTACCCCAGTAGTCTGCACTCAAATGTAATGTATAGCAGGAAGAGTTTATCCCACTGTCTGCTACCAAATGTAATGATGTGAGGAAATTATCCCAGCGGCCTGTCACCAATTGTAATGATGTGGTCAGTTCGTGTTCCTGACTGTGGTGACACAGCTTTGATTCTGGAGGTATAGAGTTAAAGTTGTCATGTAGTTATGCTTTAATACTGCGGGAGGTTGGTAGCTGAAGTACTGAGGACAGGCGTGGCAGAGACGCCCAGGGAGGAGCGAGGCCTCTTGCCACGCCCGCGAGAGCGAGCGGTCTGTGTCGACTGCTCAGAAACTGTTTTGAACAAACTTCGTTTTGAAACATTTCATTGTGGAAAACACGAAAAGAACTTGAATGAACCCAAATTCCGATACATATGGTCACATGGTGGTTTCGTGGTGAGGAAACAAGGAGCACCTTATATACTGTTGTATGTAAGAAGAGAGTTAGAGTGTTTACAAGACCAAGAGCTTCGTGATAAGGAGACTAATACTGAGTATTGAATATCGATAATAATAGCGATAACATACTTAGTGATTCATATTAAACATTTTCTAACGAATATTTTGAGTATAAACAAGACAAGTATGCATAATGACATCAGAAATAACAGCATGGGAATTGCTTATGAGGAATAAGGTTTAGTTTAGCGTGTTTTAAGGTCTTCGTCATTGCCACGGTTGTAGACATGTTGGAGTCGGCGGAGGACAGTGCGATTCCTGTAAGATAAGAAACATGGCGAGAGAGATCACGAGAACAGGCCACTATATTCTCTCTCTCTCTCTTTTCTTCCTTTCTCTCTCCCCCATCCCCCCCCTCTCTCTCTTTCTCTGTATATATATATATATATATATATATATATATATATATCTCCCTCCCTCTCCCTCTCCCTCTCTCCCTCTCTCTCTCTTTCTTTCTTTGTATATATGTATTTGATTATAAAAAAATATTTGAAGCTTCACATCACTTAG